TTCTTCTAAAATGGTTATTTTATCAAGCTCCTATGTTTATGTTCAGTTATTTTACAAACCCAATTCCATAAAAGTTGGGACACTGTACAAATTGTTAGTAAAAAAGGAATGGAATAATTTACAAATCTCATAAACTTATATTTTATTCACAATAGAATATAGATAACATATCAAATGTTGAAAGTGAGACATTTGGAAATGTCATGCCAAATATTCGCTCATTTTGGATTTCATGACCGCTACACATTCCAAAAAAGTTGGGACAGGTAGCAATAAGAGGCCGGAAAAGTTCAATGTACATATAAGGAACAGCTGGAGGACCAATTTGCAACTTATTAGGTCAATTGGCAACATGATTGGGTATAAAAAGAGCCTCTCAGAGTGGCAGTGTCTCTCAGAAGTCAAGATGGGCAGAGGATCACCAATTCCCCCAATGCTGCGGCGAAAAATAGTGGAGCAATATCAGAAAGGAGTTTCTCAGAGAAAAATTGCAAAGAGTTTGAAGTTATCATCTACAGTGCATAATATCATCCAAAGATTCAGAGAATCTGGAACAATCTCTGTGCGTAAGGGTCAAGGCCGGAAAACCATACTGGATGCCCGTGATCTTCGGGCCCTTAGACGGCACTGCATCACATACAGGAATGCTACTGTAATGGAAATCACAACATGGGCTCAGGAATACTTCCAGAAAACATTGTCGGTGAACACAATCCACCGTGCCATTCGCCGTTGCCGGCTAAAACTCTATAGGTCAAAAAAGAAGCCATATCTAAACATGATCCAGAAGCGCAGGCGTTTTCTCTGGGCCAAGGCTCATTTAAAATGGACTGTGGCAAAGTGGAAAACTGTTCTGTGGTCAGACGAATCAAAATTTGAATTTCTTTTTGGAAAACTGGGACGCCATGTCATCCGGACTAAAGAGGACAAGGACAACCCAAGTTGTTATCAGTGGTCAGTTCAGAAGCCTGCATGTCTGATGGTATGGGGTTGCATGAGTGCGTGTGGCATGGGCAGCTTACACATCTGGAAAGGCACCATCAATGCTGAAAGGTATATCCAAGTTCTAGAACAACATATGCTCCCATCCAGACGTCGTCTCTTTCAGGGAAGACCTTGCATTTTCCAACATGACAATGCCAGACTACATACTGCATCAATTACAACATCATGGCTGCGTAGAAGGATCCGGGTACTGAAATGGCCAGCCTGCAGTCCAGATCTTTCACCCATAGAAAACGTTTGATTTGGTGCATCATAAAGAGGAAGACAAAGAAGACCTAAGACAGTTGAGCAACTAGAAGCCTGTATTAGACAAGAATGGGACAACATTCCTATTCCTAAACTTGAGCAACTTGTCTCCTCAGTCCCCAGACGTTTGCAGACTGTTCTAAAAAGAAGAGGGGATGCCACACAGTGGTAAACATGGCCTTGTCCCAACTTTTTTGAGATGTGTTGATGCCATGAAATTTAAAATCAACTTATTTTCCCTTAAAATGCTACATTTTCTCAGTTTAAACATTTGATATGTCATCTATGTTGTATTCTGAATAAAATATTTAAATTTGAAACTTCCACATCATTGCATTCTGTTTTTATTCACAATTTGTACAGTGTGCCAACTTTTTTGGAATCGGGTTTGTGTATATACTGTATATATATATATATACACACACACAGTAAATAGCAGTTTAATGCAAGATCGATGTAAATAAAAGCCTAAATTAAATTTTGTTCATTATATAAAATGATTGTATCTCTTCACAAGATTTGAATTAAATGCTCAATTCACATGGATTAATTTTACAATGCCTTTATGACCATTTTGGATCTTCTGAGTTTTGGTTACCTCAACTTTCAATGGAGGGACAGAAACATCTCAGGTATCATTAAAAATATCTTAATTTGTGTTTTCCTATGGGTTAGGAACGTCATGAGGGTGAGTAAATGATGAAAAATACTTTATTTTTGTGTAAACTAACCCTTTAAAGCACCACAAGAACATTGTCATGATGGAAAAGAAACACTATGCCCGGTTCTATTAAAAATGTTTGTCTGAGAACACTGCATGGCTGTGCACTTTTTGAGCTTAGAATGGGGTGTTCACACTCGCTGTGTATATTATATATATTGTGTTTCGGATGCTGGTATGCTGTTGTCCTCACCAGGCTAAAGTTAGATTAACAAGAACTGGTTAGTCTCATTTGGGAAAATATAATCATGCAGCTTTGAGATGAAGCTTTTCCAAATTTCCCAAACATGGCCTACCAGGATGCAGGGCTTCCTGTGCACTGAGCATTGGGCTGGTGCGGACTATGTTGATCATGCAGCCCGGGTTACGTCTGACTTTTTCCACCAGCAGGGAAAGGTTCTGAATCTGTGCCTGGAGGTCATAGATCAATGAGCCCTGGATGTGCAACAAGGTCGTGGCCTCGGCGTAATGATCTTCCAGCTCATGCAAGCGCTGCTCAATAGATGAATTATTACGGTTCTTCTCTTCACTCTGTGAACGGCCAAATAGACAAACATCACGACTCCCAGTCAAAAAAAAAAAAGTGATGAGAATAACAATTCCTGTTAGCTTTTGCAAAATGAGACCTTCTCAAGTGGCTGCAGTGCATTGTGTGCATTTGCATAAAAGGCCAGGAGAGGGAGAAGCAGACAGGATCTGCTCGTGTGAATCATCAGCTCATTTAACAGCATGAAGAGCTTAAGGGTGCATACTAATGAAGGCACGTGGAGAGCGGAAAGGATTCTGGTGTTAATCTTGTTAGCACTCGGGTCAAGGAGACTTTAGGCTGAAAACTGTCAAGCCGAGTTGGCCGGAGCGACAACGAATACCACGGTATTTAAAGATTATGATATACCATGGTATTTACATAGTACTCCAAGGTACAGTACTTTGAATAATACTATAGCTCTACCACTCTTAAAAAAAGGACTATAGAGCTGTCATGCTACACTACATGAGATGATAATTCTATGATAAATTATTTAATACACAAGTTTCACAATTTGAGTTGAATTACTGAAATAAATGAACTTTTCCACGACATTCTAATTTATTGAGATGCACCTGTGAAAACTGTCAAGCCGAGTTGGCCGGAGCGACAACGAATACCACAGTATTTAAAGATTATGATATACCATGGTATTTACATAGTACTCCAAGGTACAGTACTTTGAATAATACTATAGCTCTACCACTCTTAAAAAAAGGACTATAGTGCTGTCATGCTACACTACATGAGATGATAATTCTATGATAAATTATTTAATACACAAGTTTCACAATTTGAGTTGAATTACTGAAATAAATGAACTTTTCCACGACATTCTAATTTATTGAGATGCACCTGTATGTACAGTAGTGTAGGAAAGTTTGACTCATTCTACTGAATCGGTTCGTCCTAAACACCCTCTCCATCACACGTAGCGTCAGAAATTCGAATTAGACTACTGAATCGGTTCGTTCTAAACTGTCCTCCCTGTCATATGTAGCCCTGGAATATTAAATTTAGTTAAGTGTATTGGCTTGTTCTGAACGTCTCTCCATTTATAGAATGCAGCATTTTTTTTAAAAATCGTTTCAAAAATCGTTTAATTGATTTGTTGTGGTCTCAATGAATAGATTTAAAAAGATTCGAGTCTTGATCCTCTACATGACATATTTAGGTCTTACAGCAGAGTTTTCTAATTTATCCATTACGTATGCACACACACACACACACACACACACACACATAACGTTATATATACATTTATCACTCTGCTAAAGTGAAAGTAGTAGCAGTTGAGCCAACAATCATGGAAACAAGGCAAATCCACAAAATCCACACACCTGGAGTTCTAAGACTTTGACTCGATGACGATGGTTGCGAAGCTCCTCCTGAAGTTCGGACACTGTCTCCCGCAGGGCCAGAATCTGTTGTTTGCGTTCCTCGTTCTCATGAAGCCAGTATGAAACTTCATCCGTACAGCGGAACATGTCTGGGCAGCGCTGGTCGTCCAGCTGGGGTAACGTGGCCATGAGTCGACACATGCCGTCCTCCAGGACCTGATTGCTGTATTCTCCACACTGAGCCGTACTGACCTGATGCGTGTGCAGTGAGCGGTCATCATCGCTCGCACCTGTTGCCAGAAACAGTACGGCCAGCAAGAGGGGCGAGAGAGGCCTGCCCTCCATGTGATCGCTTCGGCTGACCCCCCTTCCCACCTTGTTGGAAGGACCCTGGGGGAGACTGCCAGGGTACACGCTGTCTGACCTCCAGTCTCAAGTCTTGAGGAGAGCTTGTCACACAGAAACACTGTAGATGTGTCAGAGTCACTGTCCAGACTCAGTCATCACCTTTTCCGATGCAATTCACCTGAAAACAAAACCAAAAGAATTAAACTAACTAATGAACTAACCAAATAAATATTTAGTTGTCCTACTAGCACTAAAAATAAATAAATAAATACCAAAAAGCATTAAATAAATATTTTTGCTGTATTACAATGTACTTATTTTTATTTATTAGGCTATTTAATCATATTTACATATATAAATACTAATTATTTTAATTCATGTTTAGTTTTACATCATATTTTATTAGAATTTATTTATTTAGATATTTATTTTATCTTTAAAATGTCTTATATTTAATATACTGAGTTATTTTATTTCGTGATTGTTCATATATCACATTTTATTAAAATGTATTTATTTTTCTATTTACTATTTTTATATTTTTTATTTACTTGTATAAACATGCTACTTATGTTTTCATGATTATTTATATCATATTTTATTAGAATTTATGTATATAGATATATAAATAGACAGACAGATAGATATGATTTTTTATATTTATTATTTACTTATATAAATATACTATTTTGTCATTATAGTTTATACATCATATTTAATTAAAAATAATATACACTACCACAGTTACATGCAATAAGCATGCATTCAACTGCTTATTGGATTAATATTGGACATGGACATCAGAGACATGAGAAATCAAGCTAAAATGATTAGGTCAGCTTTAACATCACGGCAGCAACAGTCTATGTAGCACCACTTATATTTTCTTCTGAATGTAAAAATCAAATTATTATTTAGCACTTTCTAATTCTTATTCAAACTTTCTTATTCAAGGGCTTTGCTCAAAGATGAATCACAGTGAATCACTACTTCTGGGGCTCAAAGAAATATAACTTTGGATTATAAACTGAGATTTATAAGCGTTAAGTTATGCAACCCACACAGTTATGTCACCACTTGAAAAAGTTCGGTGAGATTGTTCGTGGTCTATGATAATAACAGTAGGTCATTTATTTCAAGCACTCGACGGTGTGACATTTCAGTGCACTCGTGTCAGAAAACTACAGTGGGGACAATCCTCTTCTGGATCATCCAAATGCTCTCTAGCAAAAAGAGCTCTCGTGTGGTTCTGGGATTTTTGCTCACAGTTCTTGTGATCATTTTGACCCCACGGGGTGAGATCTTGCATGGAGCCCCAGATCGAGGGAGATTATCAGTGGTCTTGTATGTCTTCCATTTTCTAATAATTGCTCCCACAGTTGATTTCTTCACACCAAGCTGCTTACCTATTGCAGATTCAGTCTTCCCAGCCTGGTGCAGGTCTACAATTTTGTTTCTGGTGTCCTTTGACAGCTCTTTGGTCTTGGCCATGGTGGCGTTTGGAGTGTGACTGTTTGAGGTTGTGGACAGGGGTCTTTTATACTGATAACGAGTTCAAACAGATGCCATTAATACAGGGAACCAGTGGAGGACAGAGGAGCCTCTTAAAGAAGAAGTTACAGGTCTGTGAGAGCCAGAAATCTTGCTTGTTTGTAGGTGACCAAATACTTATTTTACCGAGGAATTGACCAATTAATTCTTTAAAAATCCTACAATGTGATTTTCTGGATTTTTTTTCTCATTTTGTCTCTCATAGTTGAGGTATACCTATGATGAAAATTACAGGCCTCTCTCATCTTTTTAAGTGGGAGAACTTGCACAATTGGTGGCTGACTAAATACTTTTTTTCCCCACTGTATAGGTCAGCTGTCAATAACCTCACTGTACTGAAGATGCTCTCTTGGGTTTAGGCTTAAGGGGAAAATAACGTGATCTGTCATAAATCTCAATGTGATATTTGAAATAAATCCCACAAACATGTCCCTGCTCTTATTAGAGGTCAGTCTGATTGTCCTGATTAAGGCACAGGTTAAGGTGCTTTGGTGGCTCGTGTCACTTTTCTATGTGCTTATGTGGGTTCAAGAACTGTGAAAACATTTAACCTGGAAGAAGATGGGCATGCTAAAAATAGTTGATGTTGGTGTCGTGTTTGAGACAATACCAACCTCATCTGGGCGCATTTATTCAGGAAATACAATTCTCACTGAAACAGCTTGAATAAGCAAGTCACAGTTAAAAAATATCTGCATGTTATTGCATTAGAAAACATCAAACCAAATGCAAAATTGAAAAGAAATAGAAAATGATGCTGTGCACAGTCCTGCCTATCTAGTTCAGCAGGTGAACTCAGGAGGAAAAACGTGCAGGGAATGCCTTGATCTGACCCAACACCTTGAGCAGACCTTTTAATGCTGCAGTATCACGTCTAAGCACCTTGTGTCTCTGATCCAAGCCTAGTGCACTAGATCCAACAGAGAAATATTGAATATGCCAAACCACATTACAGAGCAATGCCTGAGAGCCTCATGTCCTGCAGCATGAATAAAAGAATAACACTGAGAATCAATCAGACTGATAAAGCGTTCTATGTCTTTGCAGTGACATTTTGATTAGAAGTGTGAATGCAGAGTATACATCTGTTTGTTTGGAGGGTATTTGATTTACCCACGACTCCACACCTCATGCATCACACCATCTCACTTGAGAGATGCACTGCTGATACACTACACTATGTAACGTGCAGAGCTAACATGTCATCAGCAAGTAAGCTCTACAGGGAAACAGTGACAAAACTTCCTCTTTACCTGTTTCAGTGGTCGGAGACGTCTTGTTTGTCTTCTGGGGAAATACAGACGCATGCTGCCATCCTCGCTCTCGCTCTCTCTTTCTACACCTTATGTGTCGCAGGATGGCTGATACGGTGGGCATCTTATCCTTATCCTGTATAATTGGATTCCTGATCAGAAGAAAGAGAGGAGAGAATCCAAGCGCTGAACTACTGCCACTCAGACTGTCCTTACTCTATACGTCTGAACAATTACAATAATTGATGCACCAAATTATGTTTGTTTAGGAAAAGGACTACTGCATCATATTTGATCAAATATCCAAGGCCTTTAAATTCATGATCAAAACTTTGCTAAAAATCTGTTGTACACAATTTACTAAATGCTTTCTGTCATCTGATTGATACTTTTTTAGTAAATAAAAGCCTTTTACTGATTTATATAAAGTAAACAAAAGAATAACATTTATATTGTTAATATTTCAAGATGAACACTTACTGGAATGAAGTATAGCGTAGGTTTACTTGATTATCCATATTACTAGAGAAATCGTTAAAATATGAATATCAAATATGATTCATCAGGCTTTTGTGGAACGTTTATTTGTTCATCTCTCAATCATTATTGCATTGCATTAATATATGTTCTGCTCCCACAGTAAAAACTACATGTGCATTTTATGTAAGTGGAAAGATCTCATTGATTTACAAGTTGTCAGAATTTCATCTATACCGTTTGGCCATGTAAATATCAGCAAATTCAAAATTGCACATTTTTGCTTAGTTCGAATAAAATTGACAAAGGTCAGATTTTTCTCTTTTAAACACACGATGCTAAATTAACATGAATTTCAGAATATTTTAATATTTAGTTTGTCTGGATTGAATGACAATTTATTTTGATAATTGAATTTGTAATGGGAAAAAAACATTTTCTAGTGGTCGCAGCCTTTTGGACTTTGCTGTATGATCCTAAGTTAAAACTGTGAGTGAGCATCATGTAAGGTTTGTTGTGTTTGTACGGCCCTCTAGAGGATGTGCTTTCACAGAGAGAGAGACGCTTGAGATCCTGTTAACTAATTATTCTGATCTTGCCATGAACCGAGGTTGACTGCTATTGACAGGAACCCAAATTTAACAGTTGCACCATCAGCACATCTGATCTTCAGTTCAGTTAAAGTGCACCATCTGCTCATCCAAAGCAACTCACATTGCATTACCTGGGAATTGAACCTAACACTGCCTTCGCGAGTGCCATGCTGTACAGTTTCAACACAAATAACGGTTCCAAAAAGGTTTTCGCAGTGATGCCGTAGAAGAACCATTTTTGGTCCCCAAAGAACCTTTCAGTGAACAGTTCTTAAAATAACCGCTTTTTGCCAATTCAATAATCGAAAGAAACTTTTTCCATTATAAGGAAACTTTTGTGGAATGGAAAGGTTCCATGGATGTTAAAGGATTTTTCATGAAACTATAGATGCCAAAAAAGAACCTTTATTTTTTAAGAGTGTATGAACGCCACAGAGTTTCTGCTGTCGAATTTCTATTGTTGTTTTTTTACCTTTATCTAGCTTTCTAATTTTTTAAAAACAAAATATCTCTAATTTCAAAGGTCCCATAAGCTTTTGACTATTAGAAGGTTTTATATATTCAAAGAATTCTCTGCATGCCAGTGATATTTTGGTATTATTGCTATCTTTTTTAATATTTTTAATAACATTTTATTTTTATATTTTCTGTTTTCACTTTAATTTTATGTAAAATAATTATTAAAATATAAAAATGTGCATTTTTATTAGTCTTTTTTATTTATGAAATATTTTTTGAAATGTTTTTATACTTTTTTTATTTATTAGTTTTAGTTATTTTAGTACTTCATGTTAAACTAAACAAAAATGAGAAATGAAAACAGCAATGATGCTGTTTTTAATTTAAAGTCTCAAGTGTTTTTTCCCCTGAATGACTAATTAAAGTCACTCTTTTCTTCTTTTGCAGTGTATTAATTTAAGTGAGTGGAGAAAAAGGAAAAAAAAAAAAAGTAATTGATTTATCACAAGTTACCACGACAACACAACATTAGCTTTCCTCCATTGTTAGTAATTAAATTTTCTACAGATGGGGCATGAATGGGCTTCATTAAAAAAGAAGCAACAAAGAGATGAGAAACTAAGTTAGAAGAATTGTTCAGCTTGAGCTAAGCACTTAAGATATTGCACATCTGCTCAGTCTGATCGATTTGCACGCTGCTTGTATGTTGTTCCGATTGACAGGGAATTTGTGATGTGAAATTACGTCATTCCATCTTAATTTCCTGAGTTAATTTTCATTAAGTTTCCAGGTGTCTCAAATGACATGAGTAACAGAATCGCAGTATCTGATCCATATTTCACCTGCCACTTCCTGTGGATGTTTTAATGTGTCAAAAACAGAGGTATGAAAAAGTATGAATGGTTTGTTTTTTATTAGTAATTTCCCCTGTGCACCCCCCTCACACCTCCCCCACCTCAGCAGAGACCCACCTGATCATCTTCCAGCCTCGAGGGGTTGCCACGCACCTGTGAGTATATAAGAGAGCAGAGCTCATTCAGAAAATAAGAGCGAACAAGAGAGAAAGAGAGAGATCCATTCACATACACCCGGAAAAAAAGTGCCAAAGGAGAGCAGTGGAGGTGAGCTTGATAAGAGCTGGAGACCCAAGGAAGAGTCAAAGGAGGAGATTCAGAACCATAGAACCCATCTATAAATTCAGAAAGGTAAGAATATGGAATTTGAATCATTCTGCTTTTGAACCATTGAATCACTGGTTAGTACTGTATCTGCTTGTAAAGCTTGATTTATGAACAGTGTCAAAGAAAATGTGTCATTTACATTTTTAATTTGAAATAAACAAAACATTAGAAAACATATTCCAAATTTTAAAATGGAAAACAATCTGTTTTAGAGTATGTGATACAAAGTGAATTCTAGTTAAAGACAAAAACTATAGATTTTGATGATCTTGAAAATGACTAAATAATGATTATTATTACTAATAATTATTTTTAATTAAATATTTTTGTTGTATTTTTAACAAAACATATACATTTCTATTTTTACAATTATAAAACTTATTCAGATTTAAAAAAAAACAGCTCTAAAAACTGTAATATGTAAAATAATAATTGATTTGAAATATTATTGTTTTCACTATTAATATCATTTATTACTATATTATTTAAAATGAATAAATAATTATTGTTGTAATTAAAATACATATATTTTTTTTAAATACATATGTTTTGTATTTAAATGATCATTATTTGTTATGAATATTATTACGGTTATTATGAATGATTAAATAATTTAGTTTTATTTCAAACAAAACATACATTTTTGTATTTTTAAATACATTTTTGTTTTTCATTTAGTTCTATAATAATGTGCAATATTCTAAATTCAATTACTGGGGGGAAATTGAAAGAAAAAATATTATAATTAATTTGATATGGATGACATGGTGAAATCATCAAACAACATCCAATAATGTTATGAACAAACCATTTTAATTTCAATAATTTGATCCACTCGGTCTGGTTAATAAAGAAATACGATTTGAATAGACTTTTTTCTTCCCCTGTGAAACGGTATAATATCTAACAGGATCATCCGAGGCTTTTGACTAATTCCGGACTTACTGAATCATCATCCCTACCAAAACCAATTTTTGTGGACTTTCATGGACAATCTTACTAATGAGTTTAAAACCTGCAAGACTAAAGAGTCTGTTAACTGCAGCTGATTTATTTCAGCTCTTTTCCTTTCATCTCTGACGCCACACAGCGGCTGACATCGCGCTGTGATATTAATGGACCTCACAGATCTGTGTGTCATGACATCATCATTAAAATCATAAAAGGTCACGTACCAATGAATGAGGAGAGTAGATACAAGTCTCCAAGTTCACTTCTCTTCTTTAGAAGCATCCTGAACAGTCAAAGTTCTGAAGAGACATCCGTTTCTCGTAACTGTAAGTGACCTGCTCACACGGCATCATTGTGTGAGGACAGTCTGAGCGACTCTGATCCATTCAGTGCAATCAAATCAAAGGTGATTCAAGTAAAATACCAGAGTAATAAAACTCGTCCTTGATTTTATATATAGCTCAGTATCAGCCGTTTTCTTTTCAGCTTTGCATTCTGACTCATACGAATGATACCTGAGGGATGAAAGAACTGATCTTGTCTTGTTTCGTGTTTTCAGATGCTCTGTCCTTCCTGGCTTTTGGCTGCAGCAGTCTTGTGTTTTCACAGTCCATATGTAGACGGCCACTGCTTGGATTTGATAGACTGCATGGGCCTTAAAACCAATGAACAAAAATGGGTAAGATTCATAATAATAGGACTTCATAGATTCTATTAAAGATTAAAAATCATATACACTACTGTTTAAAAGTTTGAGTTCGGTTGAAAGAGGTCTCTAATGCTCACCAAGGCTGCATTTATTTGATTAAAATACAGTAAAAAAAAGTGTTTGTTTGATATTGTGAAATATCATTACAACTTCAAACAAGAGTTTTCTATTTTAATATATTTTAAAATACAGTCCTTAAATGATCATTCAAAAATGTTCTTATATGCTGATTTGGTGCTCAAGAAACATTAATGTTGAAAACAGTTGTGCTGCTTTATATTTTTTGTGATAAAATTGTATTTGCAGGAATCTTTGATGAATAGAAGGTTCAAAAGAAAAGCATTTATATGAAATAGAATTGTCTGTAACATTATAAATGTCTTTACTGTCACCAATTTAATGTATCCTTTTAGAATGAATGTATTAATTGCTTAGAAAAACTTTTAAATGGTAGTAAGTTATTAAATTATACTATTCTGTCTTTGCAGTATATATATAAACACATTTATATAATAAGCAATCCAATAAACAATCATTTGATGACATTAAACTCTCATTAAAAAGTAATTCATTCTAGAAAAACAAAGGAAACACATCAAAAGGAAAAAATATATTTCATAAAAATAATTAAAATCTTTTCAGGCATAATTCTCAATTTTTTAGCCTATTGTGGTTTAAAAAATAAAGGAAAATAAAACAAAACAGTATATTAATACAATAATGTTTTCATACACATGCGCATAAAACGTTTACATTATTATTATTTTTAATTGTATGAGATTCACCCAGTTATGGTATAAGGAATACATACAAAAAGATTCAAATCAAACTATTTGAATGCACCATAAATGAGTGATCTATTAAGCTTTGTTTGTTAATGAAAGCTACAGTCATGGTTAACATGCATCTGCATCCTCTCATTCTCTGTCCTGACTGTGCAGCAGTGTCTCAGGCAGTGCAGATCTTCATCTGAACAGCAGAACAGTGAGGAAGAGAGCCTCAGTTTGGGCCTGCTCTTATCGGCTCTGTCTCCTGATTCAATCGAGCTCCAAGACGCCACTGGAGAAGCCCCTCACAATGACGAGAGGAGGTCTTACTCCATGGAGCACTTCCGCTGGGGCAAACCCATGGGCCGCAAACGCCGACCCGTCAAAGTCTTCACCAACGGTGCTCTGGAGGAGGAGCCTGAGGAGTCGGTGGAAAGTGTGCGCGTGGAGCGAGGGCAGAGCGGCACGCTGGACGTTCAGCCGAGGAACAACGCAAAGAGCAAAGGGAAGTATCGCATGACCCATTTCCGCTGGAACGCCCCACCTAACAAGCGCTACGGAGGCTTCATGAGGCCGTATCCAGATCAATCCCACAAGCCCCTGCTCACGCTCATACGAAACGTCATTGTTAAAGACGGACAGCAGTTCAGAGATTAAGAGAGGAGAGAATAGACAATATTTGGTGTCAAAACATTTAAATGTGTAACATACAACCTCAATTAAAAAAAGCTTCCTCTGAACATTTAAATTCTTGACAGGGCATGAAACATTGTTCTATGAAAGAAAGAAAAAAAGAAACTAGCCAAATCACTTATATATTAAAGTCAAGGTATCTCACATGATATTTACAATTCATTTAGACACCTGACACCATAACAATCACCTCTGGGATTTAAAAAGAAAGGATATTCAGAAATGCCAGGTATTTGTCTACCCGAGATAGTTTTACTGTAATATACTGTACATGAAATACATTAAAATGAATTTGCAATGTCGACAGCTGTGGATTTCTGTGTTTGGAGTCCAACAACTGCTAATTTGTGGATTGTCAGTGCCACAAATCAGCGGCACAAAAATCAGTGCCGATCTTAAGACTTCTGGGGGTCCTACGCAAAACTGTGTTTGGGGGGGGGGGGGGGG